TTAAAAGCTAAAAATAAACAAAAACTAAATTAAATACAGGAGGAGTAACTGCTAGGTGGGGACACGCCAAAAAAAACGTACGTACTATGCTCCACACCCAAAAGTCCCACCTTGACATTTAAATACAAATAATTGAGGCCTATCAGTTCAACGCTAATTTTGTGTTTTTTCTGAAAATAATATAAAATTTATTAAAATTTGAATTGAATTAGCGTTAAACTGACAGATAGATAACCTCAATTTTTTGTATTTAAAGGTCAAAGTGGGACTTTTGGGTTGGGTTGGCAAGCCTGAATGAATCCAGTACCCCATTACGCATCGTTTGTTATAAAAGTATTTACATATCTCGTATCCAAGCCTTTATGAGAAAATAACAGCTAAGTGAAAAATAAAATATAATAAAACCTTAAATAAATTCGTCAAAGTAAATGCGAAACAGAATAAAAAGTAAATTATTTGGGGCATTACATAAGTTACAAGCTTAAAGAATTTAAGTTCGCTTTCTTTTAAACGATTACTTTCTTCAGTCAGTTGTGGATTTGCAGACAGATTCACTTTTGTAAAGTAACTGGTTTTAGTTTTCACTTTCATACGTTGTCCTACATTTGCAATGAATAATAACAAATGACATAATATTGGTATCCTTTAGTTTGTGCACATTTTTTAATGCTTTGGTTAAAGTTAAAACCATTCAAAGTATTTTGAGAACTTTTTTTTATTTTCAAACTTTAACATTAAACTATAGTTTATACCTATAGGTATTTGTAAATAAATTAAACTCCCTGATACACTGGTTTTTACTACATCCAGACTTATCCACTATTTTAATTAAATTTACGATATTATAAATAGGTGTAAAATAAAACTTTCTGACTTAAAAAAACTGTAATTAAACCTGCAATTTAAAAACATCGTTTGAGGTCCAATTTTATAACTCGAATCGGGTCAAGCTATTTAGGTGACCTAATTTTGTTCTTCTTTGCTTTGATTCGCAACATACTATTAAAATATCATGTTAAACAATGATGTATTATAAAATATATAACTAATTCCCAAACTGCTAATAACTTTAAAAAAATAAAAAGAAAATTTGTCAGTTTTTAATTTCGTCCTATTTTCAGAAAATAATCCAATATATGTATTTTTGTTGTATAAAGGTCTTAATTTAGAACACAAAAAATAAATATATTGTATTATTTTTAGACTTTGGTACGATTAATTAAGGTGCGACGTTTCAATGTAGAACATATGGAAGGGGGTAATCCTGACTTAAAACTTATATACGCAAACGCTTCGTTACTGATCTATAGGATGTTGAAATTTCATGATTTTTTTAGGCAACTTTAAATAAGAAGGTAAATTTAATTTTTTTGTTTATTCGTTGCAACGAGAGATGTCATTTTTCTGGGTTTTTAGAATGGCTCAACACGACCGTTTTTGTGAAAATATTGAATTTATAAAAATAATTTGGATATTTCGAAAATATAAGTTTATATCAAAATAAAAAGTGGTAAAAGCAATACGAAAGTGTGTCTGTACGTTTTTTAACTGCTAAAATACATTTTAAACTAACATACAGTGAATATTTTTTACACTACATGTAAGTATTTTGCAATTACGGATTTAATGAATTACGATAAATAAGTATTTGTTAAGGCATAAAAAAGTCATTTTTATTTACATATGTTAGTACATGAGTCCACTTACTTTACAACATTAATAACTAAAATATTTTATTATAAAGTTATCCTATATTCATTACTTATTACATGTACTTAAATTATTATTTACTTTTTATCAAACCTAATTGTACACTTAAATATAATTCAAGAAAAAAAATAAGGTAAAGCATTAAAAAGGAACACTTCAGTGGTCTTAAAAATGGGTTTTTACGAAGGCCTTTTTTATATTTTATAAAAAATAAATAGGATTTTTTGAAAATGACAATTTATATCGCAATAAAAAGTTGCAAAAGCAATACGAAAGTGTGTCCGTGCTAAAATATCAAAATACATTTTAAACCCACATACAGTGAATATTTTTTACACTATTGTATACATCTTTACATGCACATAATTATTTTGCACATACGGATTTAATGGATCACGATAAATAATATAATAAGTATTTGTCGAGGCATTAAAAAGTAATTTATAATAACATATGTTAGTGCATGAGTCCACTAATTTTACAAAATTAATTTAAACAAAAATATTTTATATCCTATATTACCTACTTATACTTAAATTATTATCAAACATAATTATTATGTTGAGCGATCCTATAAAGGCCGAAAAATGACTTATATTATTGCAATAGAAACTTAAAAACAATTTTTTTTAATAAAATTTACCTTCTCATTTATAGTTGCTTCATGAGCACCGTGTATAGTGTACAACCAGAGACTAAAGTCTATGTTTACAACTTAAACCTTATGCAGACACGATTTCAAATGCGGGTGCCCCCAGAGCTGTAGAAGAAACAAATATCTTTTAGTGCTTAAATTCTAAATTCAACTCATCAAATGAAAGGGTTTGTTAAGGAAAATACGTGACGTCATTCTAATTTCAATATGGCAAATGCCCGAATTCAATATACCTAATAGGATTTCAGATAATAATGCGTTATCAGAAATGTCAACTAAAGAGCACAAAATAAAATAATAAATAAAAACCTTTTTTTAAATAAGTTTAAGTAATAATCTTAAATTATTTATTTTAAAAAGCTTGTCGCGAATTGTTTATAAAAGTAGGTATGTATACTAGGGTGAGCCAAAAAAACTAACCTATCGGATTTATGGGTTAAAATGAACCTACATACCGAGCCAAAAATTTCCCTGCAAGGCAAAATTTTTTGCTCAATTTTAAAAGGTGTCGGTGAGCATTCTTAGTTTTCCATTGAAATAACACGTAAAAAAATCTTTTTTCATTAAAAAGACTATAACTTTTGAACCGTTTGAGATAAAAATTTTTACGTCGCGGATTCTTGTAGAGCATAAAATTTCCCAAAGAATCTATACCAGGATTATTTTTTTAATTCAAAAATTCGTATGTTTAAAAGCTTTGAAAAGTGTAAAAAATCACCTAAACTGCAGTTTTAGTGATTTTTTACACTTTTCAAAGCTTTCAAACATACGAATTTTTGAATTAAAAAAAATAATCCTGGTATAGATTCTTTGGAAAATTTTATGCTCTACAAGAATCCGCGACGTAACAATTTTTATCTGAAACGGTTCAAAAGTTATAGTCTTTTTAATGAAAAAAGATTTTTTTACGTGTTATTTCAATGAAAAACTTAGAATGCTCACCGACGACACCTTTTAAAATTGAGCAAAAAATTTTGCCTTGCAGGGAAATTTTTTGCTCGGTATGTAGGTTCATTTTAACCCATAAATCCGATAGGTTAGTATTTTTGGCTCACCCTAATGTATACCTATAATTTGATACCATTATAGGTATACATACGTATGTTTTATATATTATTTTATTTAATATTAAAAGGCAGACTCTAGTTTAAGCTATATTTTTATGAATACCCAAATGAAGAATATAAACAAAAATATATAAACTTCAATATATATTTTGTATCTAGGTTATTTATCACATTATCTTTTAATTAAGTTTTGCATATTTGTCGTCCTTGACACAATACCATATAATATTACGATAAGTAAGGTATCAATGAAACAACTTTTAGGTATAGTATACATAATGTGAACATATTATGTACAATGTACTTTTTACATAAAGTGCGTAAACCTATTATAGGCTCAAAGATAAATATATTAAAAAACTCATTTCATTAATTAAAATAAAAATGCATAAATATAGAAATAAGGGGATGTTCTAATTGCAATGCATTCAAAAATGTATCCATTATATAAAGTTATGTTCATGCAATTTATTGTTGTAGACGCTTAATTTATAGCACATTTAATGTGATATAAATTAAGCTTTTTATAAAAATGTAGTTTATGATAATTTCCCACAAATTTCTTGTTTAGCAGTTACAGCCTTTCTCCATAGTTTTTTATTATTTACAAAACCAAATCGGAGATCATTTGCTTACATTGAAATTAAACAAGTAATTTTCATCCTTTAACCTTAAATTAATCTTTCCTTTGATTTAGAATGCTTAACATGTCCTATAATATAAAGGTACCCTGTTTTAAAAAGAATAATCATAAAATACCTAAAATAAATAAATTCAAAACGTTGTGTTTTCTAAGAAAAAAATCTACAGTCAGACATTCTGCGGTAAACGTAGTAAAGTGTAATTTACAGGACCTGCTTTAACCTTAAAAGAAGGCACGTGTCGCGGTGGCCTGGGCGAATCCGGGGTGAAGTGTGTAAGGTAAAGGAAAAAGAGCGCCCACAGTCATCCTGCGCGACTCGGCACATGATGCGCCGAATGTATCTGGGTCAGTAGGCCATCCCCCCTCCCCCCTCCACGCATTATTCCCCACCCGAACCCAGATTGTGTGTGCGATGTTGTAAGTGTGTGTATGACTTCACAACAGCACTAACATAGACCTGGTTGTGAGAAAGTGGGTCAGCAGTTCTTAGTCACTTTCACTTATTACATGGGCTTCTAATCATTTTCCATTGTGCCCCCAAGCAGAGAGCACGTCAATCGGAAGGGGTTTCCAATTCGCAGCAGTCTGCTACAATTACTTGGTCAGTTGGTATTTGATGTTACGCGACGAAGGAGGTGTAACTTAGTGTTGTTGACGCCACTCATTATATTTACATTGCTTGCCTTTCGAGTGCGTGAGTGTTTTTGTGTTTCCCATTACGGATTACGGCTACTGTCTGCCTGTGGATTATTGTTGGAATATCTGTGTTTTGTGTCTTTACTACATTATTGTGTTAAATTTTTATAGAAAACATGACGCTTTTAATTTATAATACCTAAACGCGAAAACTATACCTTTTTACCTGACTGATTTTTAATATACAAAAGTGTATTTCCAAGATATTCTCGGGGTGACTGTTAGTGAAATGTTACTGGATATGGAGAATCATTCAACGTTATTATCTTTAAACATGTCCCCGTTTAATGCTAACTCGGGCGACTCTCCTGCCGGTACCCAATCTTCCAGTCCAATGCCCCAGCAATACGGTTCACCCCCATTATCAACACCATATAGTAGTTGCCAACAAAGTATGGGGATGCCACATCCCCAAACCATGATGATGTCTCATAACATAGACACTTCATATTTATTTTCCTCAGGAAACAACTCCATGTCCGGAATTGATATGGGTGCCAACTATCAAATGTCTGGACCGGCCACTTCAATAAATACAGGGGACATACCGGACACCAAAGACGGCATCGAAGAGCTGTGCCCTGTTTGTGGAGACAAGGTCTCGGGATATCACTACGGTCTTCTAACTTGCGAATCATGTAAAGGATTTTTTAAAAGGACCGTGCAAAACAAGAAAGTTTACACCTGCGTAGCTGAAAGAAGTTGTCACATAGATAAAACGCAAAGGAAACGGTGCCCTTTCTGTCGGTTTCAGAAGTGCTTAGAAGTGGGAATGAAACTTGAAGGTAAGTTCATTAAATTAAAACAAAACAGAAAGCGCATTTTTTATTTACATGTACATTATACTATTATACTATTCTTTAATTTAATATGAAAAGATCACTTTTTATACGGGTTTTTAATTAAAAATTTGTACTGTACATAACTGATTAATAATACGCTTTTCTTATAAGTAAATAATAATTTTATAAAAGTTTTTTTATATATTTAAGGGTAAACCTTTTAGATGTTTCTTAAACCTGTAATTTCTAAATTTAAATAATCTCTTTCGAGATTTTAAAATTAGCTCATTATTTATCCAAAATTTGCGTGAAAAAATTTTTTTGTGAAAACGCAATTAATCAAAAGTGGAAAATGGGAAAAATTCAAATTTTGTCATGACTATCTCAAGTTGTTTTAAAATCGTCAATCAAAATAATTTTACAGAGCTACCACAAAGAGACAATTAATCTATTTTTTATGTTTAAAATTTTACATGTAAAATTTTAAACATAAAAAATAGATTATTGCAATAAACCAATTAAGTAATAGGTCATAAGTGGATTGTAATTTATCCAATAAGAAAGTCAACATTTATAAGAAAATTACAAACATGCATTTCACATTTAAGCAGTTTGAAAACCCTAAATCTGTCTAAATCTAAATCACGATTTTAAATACCACTTAAAAATATGTAGGTAACAAATAAATTTATGGCAACTTTTTGCTTTCAGAATATTGGGTAATCGAAAAATTAGACAATAAACTATTCAACTTTTTATGGTAAATGTATAATTTATAATTAAAATTATACATACCTATTCCTAAAATTAATAAATGCCCTAAGGGATACAAAATGAAATACAATTTAATTTTAAAAGTCGATTTCCAAAAATAAGCCAATGCGACTTTGACAGAATTAAATTTTCATATACGAGTAATAAGAGTGGGTAATCAAAAATATGTTGAATATTTTAAGGTGTGATATAGAGCATATTGTTTGTGCTCGCAACCACAATCAATTTTCATTCGTCAATTATTGACGGTCAATAATATTCGTAGTACCACAGTATAAATAAAGGATTTATACTGTGGTAGTACTAGTACAATATTCGCAACAATTACTGTGTCTGTAAAAAAAATTAAAATAATAAAATACCTGTACTAATTGTTAAGTTAAGATAATAATAATATAATAGTCCCCTGTCAAATATAGATGCATTGTATTAACCAACAAAAGCACCCCAGTTTTATTGCCAGGGCCATAAAACAGGTGGGTTATTATTAGTAGGTACCTTTTTAATTTCCGAACGTTGCAATGCGTTGGTGGAATATCTCCCTTACTTAATGCTACTACTCTACTAGACAATAATTGTCCAGTAATAATAGCACTCTCCCTACTTCTCTCTATAAATATTATGACACTTTTAAAAATTTCCAATCTTATGAAAACAAACATTATTTACAAAAAAAACAATGTATATGACATTGGCAAATCATTTATTGGGAGTTTGAGATATATTACAAAAAAAAATACTCACTATATGTATTATACAGAAAAATATAGATATAGTCGCCGTGGCGAATGTTTTCCGATGCGGCATCAATTTGTGAACCAAGCACAGACATTTAAAATTGATGACCAAAAAAAATTGCAAAGGTATGTAATATTTGTTTTTTTTCCGTAATTAATACAAACCCTCTACTTTATTGTCCAGACAAATAATATAAGCTATATTTTAATTCACAGTGCTAAAATGCTACAAAAATATACAGGGTGGCTCAAAAGTTTAAAATATTAAGTGTAACTTTTGAAATATTGAAAATATTAAAAAATGATTTTAATAAAAGTTGTTTAATAGTTTATTTCATATTTTGCAGTGACATTTTAAACTTAAAAAAGTAAAAAGTAAAAGTAAAAAAATAGTAACCCCCCTTTTTTAGAACAGAATTTAAAAAAAGGCTTTTTTCTGATTACAACAGAGTACACAGAAAAAAATCTAACATAGTACCAAGAACAGCGCTGTCATTGAATGCATTAAAATTGAAGCAATCTAAATTGTTATTTGCTCAATTAATTACTATTAAACCAAAATAGGGAAATATTTTGCCTAAATGTCAAAGAATTTATTGCGTTAAATGTATACATAGTATACACACAATAGTAACTTTATTAAATAAATCAAATTAGTATTTAATGCAATAACATTATACCATTCTAACAAATAAATATCAATATGAATATCAATAGATTTAGGAGCGATAACTTTTGTTGTTAATTTAAAAACAGTAAACGATTATAAACCAAGTGCTAACTACCTATTGGTATTATAGGAACTGTTATTTAGGAATACGGATTACAATATCCCATTGGTTTAATGGCTTACCCATTCATGCTATGCTAGTGTTTTTTCTGTGTATTATTATTAGTATGTTACATAGGGATATTCTCGGCGATATTTGAGCAAAATTACCTAGAATTAAAAAAAACGATTTCCAAAGTACTTAAGGTAAGTGCTCAAAATGGAGGTTAACGGCAAGACAGTGGCCTAAACGATTTTCAATTTCTTGTTTTACATTTTGCAGCCAAACGTCTTGAGCATTATGAATTTCATTAACAATTCTTTCTCTGAGAACCTGATGATTGTCCGGCCTATTTTTGTACACCACTGACTTCAAATGACCCCATAAAAAATCCAGTGGTGTTAGGTCTGGAGACCTAGCAGGCCACTCTATTGGCCCTCGTCTACCAACCTGTTCGGAAATACCAAAATGTGGTGAAGCACCGTCTTGCTGAAACCAAATGGTGTCGTCTACTTTATTATTTTCCCCAGGGTACAATGCCCTTACTGCTGGAACGATATCTGTCTGGAGGAGGTTCAAATATTGTTCTACAGTTAGATCACAGCTAAACGCTCGGACAAGTAAACTTAATTTTTGGTCGTAGATTACAAATCCGTGCTTGGTTTAGCTGTATTAGGTCAAGTTTTGGAGCATCCCATTAGGAAACACCCTGTATAAAGAAAAAAAATAATTGAGCTGGACCCACACATCAGTTCGAAATTAAAGAAAAACAAATTTTTGCAATATTTGAGGTTTATTGATCATAAGAAACACGTGTCCCTGAGGGTTTTTATTTAGATAATTTAGGAAATTTAAAATATTTTTTTTGTTAAGTATAATTAAGGATATTATATTATAATATATATATTAAACAAAAAAAAAGCAAAGTAATGTTGAGGTAAAATATATTATTTAACAAATTTTAATATACCAGTATAAGTATAAGAATAGGAAAAACTTTTTTAGACCTGATACAGCTAAACCGACCACGGATTTGGAATATACGACCAAAAATTATGTTTACGTGTCCGAGCGTTTAGCTGTGATCAGGGTGGAAGATGAAGGTGATATAGCTCCTATCTCTACAATACAGAAGCAAGCGTCCAGATAAGTCAGTATTTCGTTCGTTGTTTAGATGGCGAGTCAACTAAGAACCTAAGGTTTTACCAACGAAATCCATATATTCTATAACAACTTAACTTTTAACAACAAATTATAAGATAACGAAAACCCAAGGAGAGTCTTCTACACTTTTTAACGAAAATTACATCATTATTACAGCATTATTATAATAATTTGCAGAACGATTGGCAGTACTGTAGTGTTGCCGCAAACGCACAAAAGTGACGTTGAAATGGTTTTATTTGAATTTTAATTAAGCTTAATCGTCTATTTTTTGAAGTTAATCAATGCAATTTTACTAAAAATGGGAAAAGTTTTTTGTGCACCGGGATTAAAACAGGTTCCAAGTCAATGCGCCATCTATTCAGACTTTTAACAAATACTGAGTTATTTGGCCCCGTTCCGGGATAGAGATGTATCATCTCCTTCTTCCACCTTGGCTGTGATATTTTAATAGTTGAAAATTTGTGGGTCAATTATTCCCGCCCATACATTTATCTTTTGAGGGTGCTGTGTATGTGTCTCCTATTTCCAATGCGGGTTTTCGTTGGACCGGTAGTTATGACAGTTAACAGAACCGTTCAGCATGAATGTGGCCTCATCCAAAATAAAATTTTTCTTGAGAATTTTGGATTTTGATTACAACGTTTCATCAAAAATTACAAAACTCACTCAGTCAATTCTATTTTTTTCAGTGCGCATTGTTTTTTAAAACGGTAGCTATTTATTTTACTATTAGCACACTATTACATGTGACAATTGCACTGAATGTCGAATTAAAAATGATTTAGAGGTAAACGATGTGAAGCCTCAAAAAATATAACAAAAAACTTTCATACAAATTTAAAAAAATTTAACGTTTAACGCTTAGCTTATTTCTATATCGGTTCAATATTATTACACGTTGTTGTAATCAGAAAAATAACCTCTTTCAAATTCTAATATAAAAAAGGGGGTTGCAATTAAAAAAAAAGTTGGCGTCCTTGGGGGGCTACGTATTTATTAAAATATTTTTTTTTAAATTTTTGATATTTCAAAGTTTTGAGCCACCCTGTATTAAAGTTTTTTTGTTGTTGTTTATTAAGACGTATCGTATCTTTTGATATAATGTAGGCATTTTAACTTCCTTGCTTACCTTGAAAGATATAACTAAAGCATTTCTTGTAAGGTTTTGATTTGTTATTCCTTTTTACACTTTTTTGCTATTTTATTAAAAACTAATTTTGGACCCCTAAAAACAAAAATATGCTACAATTTTGCTACGTCCTGTACACCAAATTTCCAAAAGATTTTTTAAGAATTCCCCAAGATTTAATAATTTATTTAGCCTTCAAAACAAGAACACCTCTTAAATTTGTTTAATATTACCCCTATGTCATTTTAAATTTTTGTTCGACAAATGGTTTTTTAGTTATACGGGTTTTAAAATTAAATTTTATTTTCTTTTTTTCATGTTTTAAAAATATTTAATTAGGTATTTAATTTTTTTTATTGAGGTCTCAAAAATAAAAAGTTAAATTTTGTTAATAATAACAAAGTTATGCTGATTTTTTGTGCCATT